AGGTATTAATACATTTATCAGAGTTCATTATTCCTTCAATGGGGAATACAGAGTTATAGGCTCACTAAAAGTAAAACAAATATGCCCACCAAATCTGGGTATTTGGGGGGTGTGTGTGAATATTTTACAATTTGATGAAGTTGTTTTATAGTTGTTACAGGTGTACTCAGACTTCTAATAACAGTTTTGGCATAGACTTGAAAAAGTGAATCTCATCATTAAAAATTATCTTTTTCAAATCTCCAGTACTTCAGCCTTTGTATTGTCTTGTCTATGTCAAGCATTTTTTTTTCTTCATAGCAAGAGTCAGAAACTTTTATTTTTAAAACAGGTCTTCTCTCTGTTCTTCCAATTTCAGGAAGCCTATGTCACACAGTGGAAGCACCAATAGTAACTTCTTTGGCTATAAGGTCCTTTTGAAGATCTCTATTTTGAGATTAGACTGTTTTGCAGCTGAAATGTCAGTTCCTGGCACTGATTCTTCATTTTGGGCCACATTTTCCTTTGCATTTCAGTGTGACTGATCCTTATGGGTTAAATGATCTCTGAATCACTTGAGAGATCTCCAGGTCAAGAAATCATTGCAATATCTCACAATATCAAAGTGTGCTCTTCAAAAGCTACAGCTTTTGCATATTTCCTTAGAACAATAATGTTCCTTTTTAATAAAGAGAAACTTAAAAACACAACAAAAAGAGAACAATGCAACATTTGTGTATGGCACAAAATCTAACACTCAACTGAAAGAACTAAAGGTGAGGTTGATCAGAGAAAACCAACTCAATCTAGTTTTGTATGGTCAAGGTCAGACATTCTGAGTCATCACAGTGTGAGCAGACACACACACACAAAAGCCTGGGACTGGGACTGAACCTGTGATTTCATTAGTATAGGGAACTCTAAGGTGATGATACCCCCTCTACCAATACAGGTTACCCACCTTCTCCACTTCTCTTAAGATAGTTGCCTGGTGTAATGAAAGGTTAAGTGACTTCAGTCTAGGTTTTTCTGGCTTTCAGGCCAGCTCTCTATCGATTCCTAAATACTGCCTCATAAAATGAAATCACACCAAAATAGTTGCTAATACCCAGTAATTCATACACCTCTTGTACTACCATGTTATGCTTAATGTCCTTTTAAAAAAAATTGTACATAATAGAAGTTAACAGTTTCAGACTAAAATCTTTTTTTTGTTCTTTGTACTTTGAAACGTACATATGCTCAAATATATTGAAAATATAAAACAAAAAATGAAATGGTGAATTGTGATAATTTTCTAGCTCCTACTAAGTCAAACCTTGCAGTACAATTGTTAATATTCCTCATCTTCCCCTGTACCTCAAATCACTAGGCTCAGATTCCAAAGAGATCTCTTAACGAAATCTTTAACAAAAAAAATCTCTACCAAATGCACAATCCAAGACACAAACTGCCCTAACTCCAAGTCTCCTTTCCTAGTTTGGGAATTATGGATGAACAACATCAAAGAAAACCTCAAGTTACTTTTTTCCTCTCTCTCTTAAGTCACAGGTGGATTCCTAAATATCATTATGGTTGGAAAACAATTCATGGTGAGTCAATAAATTCATATTTCTATTCAAAGGACAGCATCATTATACTTATTTGGAATACAGAAATTATCCATAGGTACAATACCTCTATTGTTTAAAGCCCTGAAAAGATAGCTTAATCATTTGTCATCCAGCTACTTCAGATAAAATTCTTTTCACCTTTTCTACCAGTAGCATTTGTAATCAGCCTTTCTCCTTCCACCTGGGAGCTCCAATTCTCCTTTGGAGAACTGCAAAACTTTCTCCTATTTACAATACCTTCCTCCAATTGGATCAAGGCCACCTCCTTGCTTCCTACTGATTAACCATAGTAATTGGATTAGTGGATAGTGTTTTTTCAATTATGCCTAAAAACATTCACCTCCACTATCTCGGCTGAATTCATCACTCAAAACACATTTTCAGTTTAATAGGAATTTATTTAAGCACCTACTACCTACCTAGGTGCTTAATGAGCAAGGCACTAGAAATTCAAAAATGTTCCTGAAAACATCCCTGCCCTCAAGATTACATTCTACATGAGAAATACAACATTTAAGCTGATAAGTAAACAAAAGATAATTTGTGATTTCAATAAACACAACTATGGCAATCAAAAAAGATTCTTGTAGAAAATGACAACTGAGTTGGCCCCTTGAAGGAAGCTAAGGATAGGTAGTGATCAGAAGAGAGTTTAACTCAAGGTCTAGTAACCTTAAAGCTAAATATAAGCAAGTTGGTCCACTCCAGCAGGAGAAATAATGAAGTTTTAACTGATATTTATTTCTGCACTTTGATCTGTTTGTTTTGAGGTCTGTAGGTCTTGTCTCCTCTACCAGATGGTAAACTCAAGGATTATATTTTATCCTTTCCTAAGTACTCCTCAGAGTAAAAGAACAGGTGTTCTTCATACAGTTTGTCTTCAAACATGTAACTGATAAAAGTACCGCACTACATTAGTTAACAATTACTGTGTTTTTCACAAATATATTATATTATTCTGAAGTAATATTTCAAATCAAATATTAAGGTTATCTTGGCCACCTGTACTATTTAAAGGGAACAGTACTGGCAATAAGTATAAAAGGGGAAGGAAGAACAGCATCCAAATCCATAATTCTTCAGAAACAGGTAAGTCAGATGAGCTGCTTACTCAAAACTGGATTTTAGTTTCATATAGAATAGTTCATTTTGAAGCCAAATATAATCACTCAAAAATCTGTACTAACCATCCACAGAGGAAAAAACAGATGGAAAAAAGCCTATTGTCTACACAATGACACATAATTAGGCAGAAAACCTATATATCTTGTTTATTAACATAAATCTTGTTCATATACCGCAAATGGACAATAAGTTGGGCCCAAAACTTTAAAAGGAGAGGAGAGAAAATGGACTGTTTTTGACATGTTGCAAAAGTCTTTACTTATCCTAAGCTTTTAAAAATACCAATATTTTAAATGTCACTTTAAAAATACCAACATTCTTCTAGTATTGTACTGAAAACAGTATCATGGAACACTACAGTGTCCAAATAATTGAAATTGAGACTAAACCAAAGGGTAATGGAGCAGGCTCATAATGTGCACAAGCACACAACAATAAGAAGCAACATGGAATTATGGGAAAAAATAGATTAAAGCATGTTACTAAAATAATGTATGGGAGAAAAAGATAGGTTGGACAGATGAAGTAAGGGATAACATTTATTTGACAGCCCATGAGCTCCACTGGTATCCTCATTATAACTAGGGAAAGAAAGGATAGCCCTTAACATCTCAGGAGGCTCTGTATGGTGTATTTATGATAGTCCATGGGGCAGGAGTTGCATATACTGGGCAGGTATGGATGAGTTGTGATCTGTACCCTTACCCTTAAAGGGAATACTTCCAGATCCAGTATTCCTCACACCACACCCCAACCCTTCCAGAAAGCTTGACTGGGTGGCCTAGCTCTGTTGAAATTAATCTAAGAAGGTAATCAGCTTCTGTCCCCAATCCTTTTGCCTGTCTCAAGTGTTTAGGGCTTCCTTCAGTACCAATATCGATCACAGTCTGCCCAATTGCTCTACTAGTTCTCCTGGTCCTCCACCCACTCTTATCCCACAAACTTCTCTTCTCTGTAGCATGAAATCCACGTGCTTCAAGTATAACAATTTATTTCAAAACACGAGGTAATTCATGATTTCTGCCAATGAGAAAATGCAGTAATTAATTACTAGTCAAAGGATCTAGAAAACAAGCTCTTGATCATTTTCAAAACTACAAACAGTAAAAACAAGAAAAAAATAAAGGGGAGGCCATTAATGAGAGGAGAGCAAAAAAAAAAACCCCAACAAAAAACAAAACAGATTTCATTTGTATAGATTAAATCACAAGAAGGAGATGTGTATAAGGGTCCTTTGATATGTCCTACCATAAGACAGTATGGAGATGTAAGTATTTTGCAATTATTTGTTCTAAGTAGCTTAAAGGTAATTTTAAAGGATTACTATTTTCTGGAATTCTCCAGTATTATAATCGAGGCAGCATTCCGGACGCCCTGCCTCCCCATCCCCCACCCCGGGCCCTCCCACCGCTCTCTACCCCCTCCGCGCCCCTGGGCATCCATCCTCCACTTCTCTTTCGCACGTCACACTTCCCAACCTTGACGTTCACAGCCATGCCGGCACACGAATCGCCATTTATCCGTGCTCTAGTCACAAGTGCTTCTGTCATGCCTATAATTACCACACCCCCGTCAGTCTTTTCAGGCCGGTGTTGTTATGACATCTGTCGCCGTAGCCGCGCCCCACCCCCACCTCCACGACGCAGAGCCCCCTCCTTCTCCCCCCACCGCAAAAAAACCCATCCGCTCCAGTTCGGGGAGGGGGGTGGGTGGGGGCACTCGAACTTGTGAACTCCCACACGGACTGTCCCTTCCTTCCCGGATTAACACGATGACACGCGCACACACACACGCACACACACCACCCCGTCTCTCTTGCCGATGACAGGCCGCTCAGGCGCCCCCCCCATCTACCACGCAGGCACCGCGTCGGTCCTCGCCCTCCCCGCCGCCGACGCCCCTGCGGGCGCCCAGTCCGGGCTCCCCTCCCCCCACACACCTCCTCCTCCCTCTTTCCTCCTCCTCCTGCTCTCGCCGCCGCCGCCTCCGCTGATCCGCCGCAGCCGGCGCTCCTGACAGTGACCAGCACCTCAGGGCCCAGCCCCAGGCCGGCCGGGCCTCCGCAGCGCTGCCGTTAGCTGCGCGGCTACTGGAGGAGAAGGCGCGAGCTGACAGAGCCCAGGGATCGCAGCTCGCGCCCTCCCCGCCCCCGCCCCGGGGCCTCTCCTCATTCCCCTCGGGAGGACAGCCCGGAGTGGGAGGGGGGAAGTGGAGGGAGGAAGAAAAAGAGGGAGGATCCCTGTGGACGCCTTCCCCTCCCCAACCGCCGCCACCCGCGCCCACCTGGTTCCGAGGCAGCCGATCTCGAGCGCACGATGGGTGAAGTGGGGGCGTCAAGTGTTCACCAGTTCCCTCGACCGCACAGCTGGCCTGCGGCTTCAGCGGCGCTCACCAGGCCTCGCTTGCTCTCCGCCACCGCCGCGTACCGAGCCAGCAGTCAGACCAGAGAAGCCGGCGTTCGGAGCGCGCCTGCGTGATAGCAGCCTACCGACGTCGGAGGTTGGGAGGGGGCGGTCGGGGGGGGAGAAAGGGAGGGGGAAGTTCGGTTTCTACGCCTGCGCCTTCCCTTTCCGTGATCAGGCCCAGGAGAGGTTTCTGGGAGTTGTAGTTCCACTCACCGTAGTCGGCCTCTGACAAACAGCCCCTCCCCCATCAGCTTGTGTTAAAAAGAAGAAAAACTAAGGTCGGTCTAGCTCAGAAAAAGCGATGGATTGAGGATGAAGTCTGCAGTAGGTGGCTTATGCTGGGGAGTGAAGGGCCTGGAGACTAGGAGAGTGACAATAAGGAGGGAGGAGCAACTAGTGTTTAAGTACTAGGGAAGAGAAGGGAGCAGGCCTCGCGGAAGCAGACAGAGGTTCCGAAGCCTGGGCGTCGTCACTCCAAGGGAGAGGGGAGGGGCGCTCGACTACCCTACTCGGGCATTTTAGCACATTTAACAGATATTTTCCTACTGTGGAAAAGTGTGCGTTGGATTATGGCCTGGTGACAATATCTCTTTAAGATCATGCGACACTCTTTGCTCTGTCTAGGCTCATAAAAATACCTTTTTGCATCACTGCTACCTGTGTTATCCCATAAAGTCCGGGAGGAAGGGGATCTCCTCTTCCACGCCAAATGTTCTGCACACTGCGAGAGCTTGATAAACATTTGTGGACCTGAAGTCTTTGTTTTCCGGAGTAGACTTTGCCGTTTTGTTTCCTTTGGTTCTAGAAGCTCCCTGGGGAGGAAACTCCCTTTATATGGTTGCCTGAGGCACTGGGAGGTTAAGTATTAATATGGACCTAGAATCCAGATCTTCCTGACTTGAGTTCAGCTCTATAGCCACTGTAACAGGCTGCCAGACGTTTGACTTTGCAAATGTGCTGCTGACCAGCCTAGATCATTCAAATGCAGTTTGGCAGTTATGTTCCTGGAGGTTATGTAAAGGAATAAGTTTGGATTTTGGTTAATCAGTTAGCTTCTTATGAGTTTTATTAGTGTGAATGAATTCCCCTGAGCCTTAGCACCCTGGAGTGAATTTGTGATTTCCTGACCTTGCAAAATTGGGGACCAGATGCTGAGCCTATCAAAATAGAGCCAACCTACGAGATCTGTTCTGAGCAGTCACACACCTGATCTCTTTCTACCTGCTGGTCTTTCTCTTGTGACTGTTACCTGAGAGTTAGAAAGAGCTTCAGAGGAGCAACTGCTGGTCCAGCTCATGTTAAGCAGGAATTCACTTCATCCACCTCACAGATTCTCAGCCCCTCTCTGACTTAGCATATGGTTTCTGAGAATTGCTGTAGCTGAAAACAATAACCCATTCCCCTCTAAATCAAGGGCCACCCAACCTCTTTCTGAAGAAAACTGGAAGGAGCCCACTACCTCATCTCATTTTTGTGTGTTCTATTCATTAGAAAGTTTTCCCTGACAATCAATACAAGACCGCCTCTCTGGAACTCCCAGTCACTGCTCCTTTTGCTCTCTAAGGCCCAGTTAAATAAATCTAATCCATCTTCTACCAGCTTGGGGGATAAAATGTATATTTAAATATGAACAAGGACCTGAGGACCATCTAGGAAGTGAGCACTGGGGAACCACATTTCTTAAAAGAGAGTGGGGAAAACAACACTAAAGCTTTAATTTAAAATACTCTTTTACTTTAATACAGTGTTTTATGGTTTGTAAAGCACTTTCCTTACATCCCACCCTGTGATAAATATAAATATGATTATTCCCATTTTACAGATTGAGAAAACTGTGGCTCAGAGATAATAAGTAATTTGGCCATAGTCACCTTTTGGCCTCAGTCACATATCTCTAAGACAGAGGTTCCCAAACTTATTTAGCTTACCACTCCCTTTTAAAAAAAAAAAAATTGCTCAGCGCCCCCTTGGAAATCTACTTTCTTTAACCCTTTAATGGTTTTTTAAAAATTTGTGTCATTTCAAAAAAATATATTTTTTTAAAATGATGTGTCTTAAATTTACTAATTTATTATAAATTTATTGGGGGGGGGTTCCTGCATTGAAATTTTGATAATGCAATATTGTATCACATAACCATATAGTATCATATTGTTAACAAGTCATTACATGCCCATATTCCTGCCACTTCATGCTGGATTTCCTGACAACGTGCAACATGCTCACCTGCCAACACTTGCTTCTTAAGACCTGTCAGTGGACTTGACCACTGATTGGTTATAACTTGCATTGTGTGTGTTTATTTGGAAAATAATGTAATCACTACGACTTTAATTCTGTATCACAACAGATGAAAGGTACCAATGGGTTTTTTTTCAAAATTTTCTTCTCTTCTTTCCTTATGCTTCCACCACCCCCTTATTTTTATTTAATGTCCCGCAATTATACCCGAGACTACTAGTGCCTGCCCCCCATCATTCCAGTGCCCCCCAAGGGAGTGGTATTACCCACATTGAGAACCTCTTGTGTCTTAAGTATCAAAGGCAGAATTCAAACCCAAAGAATCTGGTCCCAGAATCCAAGAGGCCTCTCAAGTTCTGCTGGCCTTGCACTGTCACTGAAGTAGCTCCTTCCCCCTGCTGTTCTGGACAGTAGATGAGGACTCAGGGATGAAAGCCAGACCCAGCAGCTTTCAAGTAGTCTCAGGCCCACTGTCCAGAGAAGACTTTGGACCAGAGAAAGATATTTTCAATGACAATAATAATTTGCAGTCATGCCTATTCTTTGTTTTGTACTTCTTTCTCCCACAATGTCACCTAGTACAAATACTCAGAAGTCAAATAGGAATTGAGGTCTGTCCTAAGGCTGGGATGATGGAGGTTGAAAGAATTATGTAACTCTCTCCCTTGTTCAGTCAAGTTGGAAATTGATCCCTGGACTGCCAAGGGAAGTGACATATAGGAAAGAGCCTGGGGCTGGAAGTCCAAAGAACAGGGTTTGAGCCCTAGATCTGATTTAACAGAAAAAAGTCATTTAGCACACAATTTCTCATTTTCATACTCTGTAAAATAAGAACAAAAATAACTTTCTTGATTATCATACAGCCTTGCTGAGTTAGGATAAGGAAAGATAATAAATGTAAAGGTGCTTTGAAAAAGTGTTCTTCTGCAAACTGAAAAGTATCCATTTAGTGGCAGCATATCCTCTCTGAGGACTCAAATTGTACTCTTTCCTATAGTTAATAGTCTCTGCAACAGGGTTTTTTTTCCTTTCAGCACTGATTCCCCTGATAGTGGTGGCCTGGGAAGGTAAAGAACTCTCTTAAGCAAAGGTGTCAAGATATTCGTCCAGAAGAAATCAAAGGTATCTATAGTACTATGAAAAAATGCTCTAAATCACTATTAGAGAAATGCAAATTAAAACAACTCTGAGGTACCACTCACACTTATCAAATTGGCTAATATGACAGAAAAGGAAAATGATAAATGTTGGAGAGGATGTGGGAAAATTGGGACACTAACGAACTATTGGTGGAGTTGTGAACTGATCCAACCATTCTGGAGAGCAATTTGGAACTATGCCCAAAGGGCAACCAAACTGTGCATACCCTTTGATCTAGCAATACCACTACTAACTGTATATCCCAAAGAGATCATAAAAAAAGCAAAAGGATCTGCATATATAAAAATATTTGTAGCAACTGTTTTTGTGGTGGCAAAGAATGGGAATTTGAGGGGATACCCATCAGATGGGGAATGGCTGAACAAGTTGTAGTATATGAATGTAATGGAATACTATAGTGCTATAAGAAATGATGAGCAGGTAGATTCCAGAAAAACCTGGAAAGACTTACATGATCTGATGCATAGTGAAGTAAGCAGAACCAGAAGAACATTTTACACAGTAATAGCAACATTTTATGATGATCAGCTATGATAGACTTAGCTCTTCTCAGCAGTACACTGATCCAAGACAATTCCAAAAGACTCATGATGGAAAATGCTATCCAAATCCAGAGAAAGAACTGATGGAATCTCAGTGCAGATCAAAGCATACTATTTTCTTTTCTTTACTTTTTTCATAGTTTTTCTGTTTGCAATCTGTAATTTTTTTTTTTTGCAAACTGTTTCTTCTTTCACAACATGACTGATATAGGAATAGGTTTTACATGATTGCTTATATGTATCCTTTATCAAATTGCTTTCTGTCTTAGAGGGGAGGGGAGAGGGGAGAGAGAAAAGGAGAAAATTTGGAACTCAAAATTTTATAAAAAATGAATGCTAAAAATTGTCTTTACCTGTAATTGGAAAAAATAAAATACTATTAAAATATTTTACTCCACATACAAAATAGACTTTTATCCAGGTTTCTATTTGAGTTTGACAAAACTGCTATAAAGAGAAAATGACACACCTAATATCCAACCAACTCATGTGGGTAGGTATCTACAGTCTCTAGTTCTAGTCTGAACTTTACTATGTTCAAAATACTATACAAAATACATATAGTACAAAAATACTATATTTGCTATGTGGCCCTGGTCAAGATACTTAATTACTCTAAGTCTCAATTTCCTCATCTATAAAATGGGAAAAATACCTGCATGATCTATCAGTCATTTATGTCATACAGGCACTATGCTAAGCCCTGAAGATATGAATCAGAAAAAGTCCCTTCTTCAAGGAGTTTAAAATCTAATGGAGAAAGACACACAGAACACAAATGGAGGTTGAGGAAAAGAGTCAGGAGAGAAATGAGGAAGGTACCTGACCCGGGGGCTTGTTGGGAAAATCAGAAGTCCCAAAGTGGAGCAGCCAGGTATGAAATGAGGAGATAGTCTGAGCTAAGCTCCCTCCTTAAATGGAGATTTGGGAGTTCATGGCTCCACCCTGCAGTCAGAGGGGGACAGGGGATGGTGATGAGGTGTAGTATCAAGGCTGATGAGGTCTTACAAGATGGTTATGCTACTACAACCAAGGCAGGGCAGTAGCAGGGCAATGGATCAAATTAGCAACCATTAACAGGATAGCAGCAGCTGTTGCCAACAGCTTATGAGCTATAACGGAAACGCTAGCCTTCTATTTTAAGGCTGTCTGTAGCCCGTTGATTAAAGGCATGAAAAGTTAGACCACTGGGCTAATGTTAAGGCTGAAACAAGAAAGCCAGGTGAGACTTTGTAGCAGAGCAAGGTGGCTCTGGGGAGTTTGGTTCTTTCCTTGTGAGTCTAAGTAAGTGTTTCCTGTATAATGTGTGTTCTGAGGAAGTTTTGTGCATTGGACCATGCTACAAACTGCCTGAGGTTTGAGGCACACCTGAAGGTTTGGGTAATAGTGACTCTTTGTCAAAAGGTCAACAACAGCTATCTCCTTAACACCATTATCATCCTGGAGAAGGGTTGTCAGGGTACCAGAGAACAGGCAAACCCTAGGGCAGGTAATGGGAGATCTTTGGAAGAAGTGAAGGGCCAAAGTGGAAACCACAAAAAAGAAAAATGAAGTTGGGCTGATATCAAAGTCACTATAATCAAAGGGACTGAGATAAGAGGAAATTGAGACTCGGAGATGGGTACTGATTCAAGAGATATGACATACGGGACACATTGGAGGAACTGAGCATTTGTCTGATTCAACTCCTCAAAGCACTGTGTGCTTGTGTGTGTGTGGTTTTTTTTTTCAGCGAAAAACAAAGTTTATTGAAGATTCACCATATTAGCCAAAGTCTTAAGGAATCTGAGTGTCTGTGAGATATTGGCTAGATTATAAGAACCAGAGCATCTTAATGGAAACAAGATGGACCTTATATACAGAAAGACTATGGGAGGGATCTAGGAGTGGCCAAGTAGTCTATGAGGTAATAGAACTCCAGGAATGGCCAAGGGAGAATGGAGCCTAGATAGGATTAAGGGTGGGAAGTGGCCAGGGGACATAGGGAGGTTTAAGGATACCAGAATTGGGAGATTGGGTGTAGCCACAGTGAAAGGCCAGTTGATGGGCTTATAGCCTCAGGTCAACACCAGAGATTTGGCCATGTGGGAAAGTTCAGGGTTTTTCCTTTTTGGGGGTCTAGATCCCATCCTCATCATTCCCCCCTTAAACAAATGGAACCCAAATTCTTTTGGGGTAAGGGGCAAAGGTCTTGGCTTCTGAAACTGCTTCCTGCTGGCAAGGGGCATAGAGCTGTCCCTGCCTCGAGGGGGTCCCAAAGTGGAGGTTTACTGGAACTGAGCACAGGATGCATCCAGGAAGCAATGGGGGGACATTGGCTGGTACCTGCTATTTGCTGTGAATTGAATGGCCTGTAGTCTGGAAGACACGAATCTTCCAGTCACGGCTGGTGAAGACTTGGTATTAGGCAGTTTTTCCCAGTGCAGGGAACCATAGGATGAGGTCTAGAGGTTAGGGGTCCTGGAATCCCAAAATCATAACACGCAGGTCCTGCCTGAAAGAATTCGACCCAAGCCTTCTTTCAGCCCAAAACAAGGTTTATTGAAGATTCGCCGTGTTAGCCAAAGTCTTAAGAAATCTGAGCATCTGTGAGCTATTGGCTAGATTGTGAAAATCTGAGCAGTGGCTAGATTATAAGAATCAGAGCCATATGTGTGTGTTTTGTAGAAGTTGCTTATATCCCCAACTCTTCTTTGCTGAGACAGCATGACTCAGGACTGGATTTACCATGCTCACTAATAAGTCAATTATATGCCAGTCATACCTTGACATCAGCCTTCACCTATTTCTCCAGAATGACTCTCTAAATATTGAGGTTGTGACTTAATAGAATGGTAGAAAACCACTATCAATTTGGGATTGTACACTGGTTTCCAAGTCCTCATATTCCTTCTAGTCTACTAGATATTAGGTTTCTGTTACCTCAAAGTCAAGAATCTCCCAAGGAATGTATTTTTATTTTTTGCAATCAGCAAAAATTCACCTTCTTTCCCTCATCCCATCCCTGTCTCAAATGAGAAAGAAAGAAAAACAAAACCCATGCTACACGTATGTAGAGTCCAGCAAAACAAATTTCTGCATTGGGCATGTCCAAAAAAAAGATGTCTCAGTCTATACTTTGAGTCCATACCTCTTTATCAGTAGTGGCTTCGTGTTTCATCATTAGTACTCTGAAATCATAGTTATTCTACTAATCAGAGTTCTAAGTCTTTTAAAGCTATTTTCTTTATAATATTTTTGTCAATGTATACATTGTTCTCCTGGTTCTGCTCACTTCACTCTCTCTGCATCAGTTCATACCAGTCCTTCCAGGGAGACAGAGTCAAGATGGTAGAGTGAGAGCTAACAGCTTTAACTTATTTCCTTTATATCCTTTCATACAAGGCTGGTAAAGAGCACCAGACTGAATTCTCATTGGAAAAGTCAAGAAAAGGTCATAGTGAGTCATTTTTCTTTGTCAGGGCAGCTTAGAAAGGAAAAAAAAGGACTGAGGACACAGGGGTATGGGCTGGACAGGAGTGAAGTGCAGCAGCATTGAAGCAACAGGCTGAAATAGCAGAGGTCTGGGGTAATGGCAGCAGTGGTGGGAGTAACCCAGAACCCAGAGATGGCAAGAGAACTGAACACCTGGGCAAAAGGAAATTGTAGGGGACCTCGTGCTAGCACTTGTGTGATCCTGACTGTGGCACCATGGTTTTTGAATTCTTTCTTTCTGGCTGCTCACAGTATTTGTTTCCTTGATTTAGGAGTTCTGGATATTAGTTATACTATTCCTTGGTGTTTTCATCTTAGGATTTCTTTCAGGAAGTGAGTCTGTTGCCCATTATTCAATTTTGGATCACAGTTACAGGGAGAGGACTTTTCCAGAGAGGAACAGTCACTGTCAGGAGGGAACAAGTATCCTACCTACACGAGAAGCAAGAAGCAAATTACAGAACCATTGCTGTGTGTCTCTGAGTCTAAGAACAGAGTGAGGATCCAGTTCTAACCTTTAGCCCTGCACCTAAGCCTGAAGTAGAATAAATCAGAGCAAGAAACCAAACCAAGGGGGAGCTAGTAATTCAGTCACTCTAAAACTGTAGAACCTCCTAGCACATTAAATGTGACGGAGTCCAGCAGCAATCTATGGAAACTCAACCACATACAAACCAACAGACCCAAACTGTGTCAGGAATTTGCAGACTAGGAAGACAATAAATAGACCTCTCTCCAGACCACAACACTTTGGAAGCGCTAAAAACTAAAAAAAAACCCAGACTGAGCCATGAATGCAGCAAGATATAAAAGTCAGAAGTTCGAGCCAGGCAAACCCCCTAGAAGTGAGAAAAGCCTAAGACTGACAAAATCAAAAGTCAAGAAGTAGTCTGCAAACATGAACAAACAGCAAAAGAACCTGATTGTAAAAAGTTACTCTGGTAA